AGATACATCATCTACACACACACACACACTCACACTCACACACTCACACACTCACACACACTCACACTCACACACACTCACACACTCACACACAGATTATACAGTCACATGACTCTCTCTCTCACACGCGCAGCACCTGCTCGATGCTGTATCCTCCGGCCAGAGACGCCCCGTATCCTCCCACAAACGCCAGGCCAGGCAGAGAATAGAGGTAGTTGTGCTCCGGAGGGTCCGTGGGCCTCTTAAACATGTCCAGCATCCTCTGTGTGATCAGGAACCCACCTGAAGAGCAGATCAAGTGCTGTCAGAACTGTGTGTGATCTGTGCTCTTCAGCACTATATGAAGGCTGTAGCAAAGTCTTTTGTTAATATCATCTATAAGTGCAGTTCACAAAGTGGCCCAGTGTCACACAAGAATGATTTGGAATTATATAGATTATAGATTATTTTTCGTTTAATTTATATAATTAATTAATTAATATAATTAACATAATAATTACTATTATTGTAATGATATTTAATATTATTATTGATCATTTTAATATTAATTCATTTTTAATATTAACCTAACTTCATTAAAATTCTAATATGTATATATAGGCTATTGAGGGGGAAAAACAAATATGATTTAAATTTACATCTACATTATATATACAGTACATACATATTTAAAAAAAATAATAATAATTTTAAGGCAAGCATACAGTTATTGTTATAGTTATAGTTATGTCATACCTTTATCATTATACACATTTATGTCCTCATTTGTCAAAAAAAACACTCATATCAGTACACACACACATCAGTACACACACACACACACACATATCAGTACACACACTCACACTCATATGTTCAGGTGTATCTGCGACACACACACACACACAAACTCATATCAGTACTCACACACACACTCACTCACTCACTCAAATGTTCAGGTGTATCTGCGACACACACACACACACATCAGCACACACACACTCATATGTTCAGGTGTATCTGCGACACACACACACACACAAACACACATCAGCACACACAGACACACACACTTATATGTTCAGGTGTATCTGCGTGAGCCTCACCTGAGATGGCGTTGGTCACTGACATCAGCGGAGAGTGCAGCGCCGGAGTCACGCCCCACACCGTGTGATATCCCACAATTCCAGCGAGGCCAAAGGTCGTCACCATCTGAGTGAAGGCAGCATTAGGAGAGGCGATACCCAAACCCATCACGGTCGAGAGACCTTCACAACAGCAGAGAGAGAGAGAGAGAGAGAGAGAGAGTTCCTCCATAACAGTGTTTCATTCATTTGTGCATTCATTCATTTTTGCATGTTTTTTCCTCAATCATTCATTCATTCATTTATTTATTATTTAATATTTGTTTAAATGCATTGTCATATCAGCCACAGAGACTATTTCATGGCAGATACAAATTATAAACATACAATAATGTGTATGTAAAACATACAAAATAACTCTATAAAAGATTTGTTAGGTTACTTGCACTTGTGATCAAAATCAATTGATCAAATGTTTCTTGTTCCTTCTTACAAAACAAGTCTTGTCCCGATTCATTTTTTTTGTTCATGCATTCATTCATCAGATCATTCATCAATTGTTTATTTATTTATTCATTCAACCATTAAATTCTTTGTTTATTCATGCATTCATCCATTGATCCATGCATTCATTTGTTCGCGCGTTTATTAGGTCTCTGACCTGCTGTATAGACTCCCGCTGATGTCATGGTCTGTCTAAACGGGGATATTTCGGCCTGTTTCTCCGCCTCCAGCTCGGCGACGCTCTTCAGCTTGGCAGGTGGCGGCGGCGGGGTGGTTTTCGGTAGCGGCGCGGGAAAAAGATTCTTACCTTGCTGGAAACATTCAAATAAAATATTTATTTTTAAAATAAAATCCTTTAATAGTTTCTTGTGATTTCTAATGTCAGCATGTGTTGATGCACGTGAGAGGAGTGAGTTCACCGTCACCTTCATCACCATCGTCCCTCTGATCACGTGATCCAGCGTGCCGTAATCAAACTCATCGCAGGGCTCAAACTGGAAGAGCTCTTTGTCGGGGCTGATGGCCTTCAGCAGCTTGATGATGTTGTTGGAGTAGAGTGTGCTGGCCTGTGTGGGCATCCGGCTGGGCAGATCCGTGTAGCCGATGTGTGTCACGCCCTGATGGACGTACAGCTCTCCGGGATTAGTGGTCTCAATGTTTCCTCCGGCCTCCGCCGCCAGATCCACCACCACCGACCCGTCACGCATGCTCTCCACCATCTCACGCTTGATCAGCACTGGAGCTCTTTTACCTGAACACACACACACACACACGACTGTGATCAAACCAAGCTTCACGAATAAAGCAATAAGCCCCGTGAAGCCGTGGTTTACAGTGAATTTATAACGGTTAAGGGGCGTTGTTAGCTTTGCTGTTATAAATCCACTGTAAACCACGGCTTCACGGGGGTTACTGCTTTTATAAAACACGGTTATTCCATATACGTAGCAAGGTTTCACAAAATAAAGCAGAGCAAATAAAGTGTAATGATATTAATAAACACAGTATTCTTCCACCAAACAATGTAGCTCCTCAGAAACAGAAACACAAAGTGGTTGCCGCGCAACACACAAACCTAAACAAAGGTGTGTGTTACTTTGTAGCATCATTTACAACAGCTTCGAACATGGCTCAGCCAATCAGAGCCAAGCACCGGAACTCTCCGCTTTATAAGATCAATTTAAGATCAATTAAAGAACATTTAAGGAATAAAGTGAAGGGAACACAATGTGTTAATATGTTCTCTGAATGTAAATGTCTTCCAAAAGATTGCCAAAACGTTTTAATATTTCATATTTTAATATCTCTGCTCCCAAACACTAGAATTTAGACATAACTTTTATTGTACCTTCAGATCACACTGCAAACAATGTATGCTCTTTCTCAGTATTTCTGTCTTGTTTTTCAGTGCAAACGTCTAAAGATTCTTAAATCAAGACACATTTACTGGAGAAGCAAAATGACAGAAGATAAGAAGTCTTGTTTTCTGAGAAACGGAACAAAATGAAGCGATTTTATGATTAAAACAACAAAATATCTGCTAATGGACTCAGAAAAATAAACTTAACTCAAAGGGAAACAAGTTTTCATTCCACACTGACAGATATTTGTTCTTGTTTTAAGCCTAAATTCATTTCATTTTGTTCAGTTTCTCAGAAAGCAAGCGTTCATGTGTTAGTTTTGCATCTTCAGTAAATGTGTCTTTTAAAGATGGTTTAAAGATGTTTAGATATTAGTACTGGAAAACAAGACGGTAATACTGAGGAAGATGTTCATTTTTAGCAGTTCATGCAACATTTAATGCTTAAATCTTAAATCAGAGAAGAACTTCTTGTATCGTCATGACCGATTTAAAGGTGAGATATCATGAAAATCGGACTTTTCCAGGTTGTAAGTGCTATAATCAGGTCCCTGGTGCATCTACCAACCAAGCAAACGTGAAAAAGATGAACCCAGTAACTTAGTTTTGGGAAGCCTTTTTCTGCAAGCGTCTGAGAAAACCAGCGCGTCTGATTTCATCCCTTGGTGATGTGACAAAGCGATCTCATTATAATATTACCGCCCCTTAATCTGTAAGTTTACACCCACCGTCACAAGCGACAACGCTGTATTAGCTCTAATGCCATGATGAAAGTTTGAGAAAGCATGCTAACTGTTCAGTGTTTGGCTGCACAGACGAGCTCAGAACACTGTTTAGAGTCCCAGCCTCAGAGACGAGAGCAGTGCATTTACTGATGTATTTACTGTATATTGCTGCTGCCACACAGATCTAAAATAAACATGTGATTTATTTCCCAGCTGTTTACCTTCACAGACATAACCCACTGTTTTTGTAACTCGTGTGTGTTTAACGTAAACTTGTGTGTGAATGAGAGCTTAGTTTAGTGCTCACATGCTGTGACAGCCGCTTTCTGTGCGTGTGCTTCAGATGTGTGCGCTCAGAAAACCCTATATCAGAAGCTTAAACTCATATGGTTTAAAACGCATGATTTCAGCGCCATAAACATGATAATCAGAAGCAAAACAGATGTTTTCAGCAGGTGCGAGCTGTAAGCAGCTCTATTCTGGAAAAGGGGGCGGGGTCAGCACCTCATTTGCATTTAAAGAGACAGACACGAAAAACAGCGTGTTTCTGCGTGTGCTCAAAATAGGCATTTTCAGAATGATATAATAAATGATCTGTGGGGTATTTTGAGCTGAAACTTCACAAACACATTCTGCGGACACCAGAGATTTATATTACATATTGTAAAAAGGGGCAAATTGGCAAGGGGTAAATCTTAAATCAGAGAAGAAAGTCTTGTAACGTCATGACCGATTTAAGATATTTTTAGGCCTTCATTTGTGGAAGGGTGGATTAAGACTTGCTTAAGACGGGCAGAAACCCCGTCAAATGTGACAAGAGACACAAGCGAATGTGAACATAAAACAGTGCGGATCATTCGTTCTCTGTGTGTTCACCAGGAATCAGAGCCGTGCTGATGACGATGTCGACGTCCTTGCACTGTTTGGCAAACAGACTCATCTCGGCCTCCAGGAACTCTTTAGACATTTCTTTGGCGTATCCTCCGAGGCCTTCGCCCGACTCTGCGATGTGTATCTCCAGCGGCTCCGCTCCGAACGACTTGAACTGCTCCAGTGCTGCGGGTCTGACGGGAGACACACAGACTTCAGTTTGACCTCAGGTTTAGACTGATGAAGTGTCTGGCGTCACACACACCTGGTGTCGAATCCTCTGACTATGGCACCCATTGATTTAGCAGCTCCAGCCGCAGCCAGACCTGCGACGCCGCCACCGATAACCAGCACCTACACACACGACACGGCGCTCGTTTAGTGATGTTTACTTCAGTAATGCTTCTGTGAGAGCTCATGAAATCATATTTGATTAGCAAAGGCCTTGTTTGTTTTGTGTGTATGTGTTTCCAAATATATCCGGACAGTTGAGTTTGGATAGGACAATCAGTTGTTAGGATTGGACAATATTTGGCTGAGACACAACTATTTGAAAATCTGGAATCTGAGGGTGCAAAAAAATCTAAATATTGAGAAAATCATCTTTAAAGTTGTTCAAATGAAGTTCTTAGCAATGCATATTACTAATCAAACATTAAGTGTTGATATATTTACGGTAGGACATTTACTAAATATCTTCATGGAACATGATCTTTACTTAATATCCTAATGATTTTTGGCATAAAAGAGAAATGTATAATTGTGACCCATACAATGTATTGTTGGCTATTGCTACAAATATCCCCCAGCGACTTAACACTGCTTTTGTGCTGCAGGGACACATTTATCAAACAAAAATCAGACAATATCTCATTTGTTTGGTTTGAAACAGTAAAATATCAGATCTAGTGTTAGTGGATCATTACGTTATATTTACGCATTTGGCAGATGATTTATCTAAAGGCCTTGCATTGCATTCTACATACTTTCATCAGTTCATCAGAGAATCAAACTTTACAGGAACTCCTAGTGAAAAATAAATATACTAAAATTGATTTGAAATGCATTTATTTAATGCTAAGTATACTACAAATGCATTTACATATTTATGTACTTAATAAAAATACCCTGCAATTGTACTTTTAGTATACTTAAAGTCTGCTAAAATTGGAACAACTCATTTTGTACTTAATGCACTTTAATTGTATGGAAGTAGCGCTGAAGTCCAACTAAAGATGTACTGAAGTATATTTGATTGTGGAACTATTGGAAGTATACTTCAGCTACATTTTAAATATCTTGCATTTAGAGACCGTGTCCCTGCAGCACAAAAGCAGTGTTGAGTCGCTGGGGGATATTTGTAGCAATAGCCAACAATACATTGTATGGGTCACAATTATACATTTCTCTTTTATGCCAAAAATCATTAGGATATTAAGTAAAGATCATGTTCCATGAAGATATTTTGTAAATGTCCTACCGTAAATATATCAACACTTAATGTTTGATTAGTAATATGCATTGCTAAGAACTTCATTTGAACAACTTTAAAGATGATTTTCTCAATATTTAGATTTTTTTGCACCCTCAGATTCCAGATTTTCAAATATTGTGCTATCCTAACAAACCATACATCAATGGAAAGATTATTTATTCAACATTCAGATGATGCATAAATCTCAATTTCGAAAAATGTACCCTTACGACTGGTTTTGTGCTCCATGGTCACAAATAATAATTAAGACTTCTGTTATACCATTTAAGATATTTAAAACTTTTTATGGCTTTAATTTTGGTCAAATTGAATTTAGGACATTTTAAGGATTTTTAAATCAGCTAATCAAAAGTTCCTGCATCATTTGAGTCTGAGATACTATTATACTTTCTGTTAATATTTTGAATTAGGTTTTGTTTTTATATTTTCTGTTTTCATGTTAATTTTAATTAAAGTTGTAGTCATTTTTTTTGTGTTTTTGTCACTTTAATATGTCTTTGCAGTTTTTATTTCAGTTTTAGCTTTTTTTCTGAAATTTTGCATTGGAAACGAACTGAAATAAAATGATTTTTTTTAATATATTTAATTTTATTTTAATTAGCATTTATTTTTGTAGCAAGGTTTTTTCTTTATTTTTATTATATAATAAACAAAAAGAAAATAGATAGAATGGAAAAAGAATAGAGCAAGCTTTTTTTTGTACAGTACCTTATTATTATTGTTGTTTGTTTTATGACCCTTATGTAGAGCACTTTGGTCAACTACTGTTGTTTTTAAATGTGCTTTAGAAATAAATTAAACTTGAAACTTGATTAAACTCAGAATTGCGAGATATAAACTCAGAATTGCGATTAAACTCAGAATTGCGATTAAACTCAGAACTGCGAGATATAAACTCAGAACTGTGAGATATAAACTCAGAATTGCGATTAAACTCAGAATTGGGATTAAACTCAGAACTGTGAGATATAAACTCAGAATTGCGATTAAACTCAGAACTGTGAGATATAAACTCAGAATTGCGATTAAACTCAGAACTGTGAGATATAAACTCAGAATTGCGATTAAACCCAGAACTGTGAGATATAAACTCAGAATTGCGAGATATAAACTCAGAACTG